TAGTTTCCTCAAATCATGAGCGCAGGGAGGCCCCAAAAGGGGTTTGTTATTAAAGAAACCCTCCTTTCTGTCTGAACTTTGGTTTTCTGTTCTGTTTCTGCCACTTTGAAATGGGTGAGGCATGGTGAGAAAGAAGACAGGACAGGTCCCATTCAAGGAGGCACTCGGGTGGTCAATGCAAGCTGCAATTTGTGTCAAGGTCATGGGAAAGGTCAATGACCTAATTTGTTTTTCTGCTCTCAGCAGAGCACTTCATGTGCTCCAGAAAGGGGGGATGAAAAGGTGGCAGCCCTTACGGGCAATGTCCTGTCATGGTGAATAAAGTGCTCAGTGGCATCCACCATACCGCTGTGCCAAAAATCTCTCCTATTCTACAGCTACAAATATGAACCCTCCAATCTCAGTACAGTCGCTAGCAAGCGATGCGATATGCAGAAGGTTGGGTACAACAGAACACCAGTTCAGCAACTTACTCCTTGGGGTATTATTCACATCTGGATAAGACCTGATCTAGTTAAAGTGAGTGCACCCAGATAGGGCAGCCCTAAGAAAACATTTCTCAATTTTTAAGGGAATTCCTGGTATTCAGAGAGAGGGAACAACTCTTGGATCTCTTAAAATGGCAGAATTTGTACATGTGCCTTCTGTAAATGTAGCCTGGTGTAAATTAAGGTGGCTCAGTTTGTAACTCGCTAGTCTTTCAGATTTAAGAATTGGTTGCACATAGCAGCTAAAAAGAAGGCTTAGCACATCAGTCCATCAGATACTCAGACATGAGGATTAACCCAGCGTGCCTTCCACATCTCACTGTATTGCCTTTAATTGCAATCCCAGGCTTGAATAGCATTAGAGTTAGGTATAAGGTAAGAAAATGCCCAAATCCTCAACTCAAGTATTCAAGCTGCAGGCAACATTTCTGCCTGCCTCTGAGGTGGGGTTGTTGACCTTATTGCTTCAATGCCGTTCTGCATCCGTATATTCCCTCAAATGCTTATGGATGGGAGAGCAGTAGGTCACATAAAGGATAAAACCCCTTTTCTATGCTTTAGAGCAGGTTCTGGCAACTTCTCGGTGCCGGTCAGTCAGACTGTGTTTTTCCTTCCCAATTTGGGGCTGAGCCTTCCAGTCGGAAGGCAGCAGGAGCTAGGAGATGGTGCTGCTCGGTGCGTTTGGGTGCTTGCCGCTGCACGAGGCGGGAGCTGCCAGCTCTCGCCGGGCCGGGGCCGGCGTCCCCGCGGGGGTGCGAGCTGCGGGACACCCCGCTCGCAGCCCTGCCGCCCGCCACCTGCAACAGGCGCCGCCGAGCCCGGGGGCCAGAGCCTCCCTCCTGCCCTCGCCCAGTGCTAACACCTGATCTCGCTCCCAGGGAGACGGCTTTGCAAGCAGGAATTGCCCTGGGAAGCACAAAAGGTTGATTTTAAATATACGATGAAAGAAAAAGCTAGCAGCATTTTTTCCAGTGTGAGAAGAAATGTCTTAAGAAAAGAGGTTTTGTTGTCTGCTAAAGCATTGGCCTGTCGCCCTCTAAGGCTTGGCTGGCATCAGACAGAGGCGCCATGGGTAAGGAATTAATTGAGGTGGTTCATCTCAACCCCAATGGAAAGTAGATCACATTGGATTTTTTTAGGTTTTTTTTTAATCCACATGAAATGTGTTCAATTTATCCTGTTTGGTAAACTAAACTTAGTAAAGAAATTTAGCAAGGATTTGGCTAAAAGGTGACACTTCCAGTTCAAAGAAGCCTGAGGGCACTGGTGCAGCAAGCCTGGTGGTACTTTTCCTTTTGCCTATACTTTTTCCAGGTTGTTTCTTTTTTCCTTTTGGTGTTTCTCTCTTCCCAGAGTTAGATAAATCTTCACAGACCTGTTGTCCTCGGACCATCATTCTTAGCATTGTATAGAACTTACTTTATTTTTAAAGTCAGTCATTTCTACAGATATCAGAAAGCTGACTGAGAAACCATTGGCATCATTCACTTAAAACACCCTTTCTTTAGTGCACTCATTAAGCCTTCAGTTCCTTTAACTGCATATATTATAAAAGCATGTGACTGTGTGGCTATGGCCTTCATTTCTTCATGAGCTTCTAGGTAACTGAATGTTTGTTATTTCTTTGTGCTTCTTGGAAGGAATACAGTGAACTACAAAGAAGTGGTATGTAACATAATAAAATGTCTCCTCATGTCAAGTGATTGCATCAGATTTTGCGTGCAATTTGCTTTTAGTTTTCCAAAGGTGTAGTTACTGGGGCGTCTCCTAGCTATTAGGTAGTATTGAACTGCACTGAGCTAAAACAACTTAAGGTGGCAAGTTATCTGCTCTTGAAATATATGGCTTAAGGCAACAAAGTTCCTGGGGGCCAGTTCTCCTCTCAGTCCTGGGAGTCAGAAAGAGGCAGGGGCACCAGCCTTAACCGGAGCACCGGTGTCTCGAGGACCTGCCTGTATTGGAGAAGGTCTGTTGCTCCTTGCGCTGGAGGCCCCGGGCAGTGACTGCTCAGTAGCCCGTAAAGACAAAGAGCGTGGCGCGTGCAGGGATTACAGCGCATCCGATCACAGAGTGGGTCACAGGCCTGGGAAAATTAGTTAGCCGTTCAAGGCTGGTCTTTGGCAACTCGGTCTAATTAGAAACTCGGTGTATTGACTCTGCTGTCAGACGCCCCAGCTTCTGCCGTTCCAGGGACATACTTTTCTCTGGTATCAGTATTGCTCACAGTCTGTTTCTCAAATCTGCGGTTGTTTGCCATCTGTGAGATTAAGTATTTATGTAGATAGATTAAATAGCTCACTCTGACATGCTGCTTCCATTTCCATTGTGCTAGTGTATAAATTTACATGGATACAACATTCTCTAATTCAGTGTTAAGAATAACATCTTCAGACGCAGACATTAGTAATATTAACTCCTGCCGCCCCGAGTATGGCAAGCAATTACTAGTAGCATTAGTATTCTATTAGCAGACATGTCGCAGAGAATGAAATTCACTTAAATTAGGGCAGACTGGAAAAGGTAATACATGCATTAAATATTAATATAGTTTTCTCATGAAAGTATTCAAAGGACATATCAGAGTTGTCATTTAGCTTTTCCTTCTGTTTGTGGAATATCTGTGATCATAATTTGCTTCCATTCATTCCTTATTTAATGAATTGATTATGAATATTTGAAAGTCAAGCTGTGCTGCTCAGTTGTTATTCATCAGAGAAGTCACACGCTACTTTTTACATTTTCAAGGATTTATGAGGCAGATTCTCACATGTGCCAGTTTAAAATTTTGTTTCCATAAATTCTCTGTGATGCAGACTTGAAACTTTTTTTTTAAACAGTTGGGCACAACTGACTTTTAAAAACAAGGCAACTGGGCTTGCTGGGGTGGATTCATTTTCCCTTGCTTTCCACGACACAGGTGGAAACAGGTGAAAACATTTGCAGGTAGCACTGACCTAATAAAACAGAAGGTAGTAAGAGAAATGCACATCTTCCAAAGCGGCTGCTTACGTTCAAAAGTTGAATTATACTCTGCTTTTTAGCAAACCTAGGGAGAGATTTTTCTCCAGTAGCTTTCACTCCTCCAGAGGGCTGTTCACTGCACCTCCTCTGAGACATCTCCGGAGGTATCCGTCTCCTTGCAGTGAGCAGTGCGGCAGCATAGGCAACCAGCGTAGTCGTGCTGTGGTTAGAGAGCTGAAGCTGGTGGAAGTGAATGTAGCTGAAGGGTCAAGTCTCAGGTGTTGTGCTGGTTGACTGTTGCATCCATTGCAATCTGAGAGCGAAGCCAGGATTGCAAAGCGCTGCCTGACACAGACATCATTATCAGAACCTACTTCCGTGGCTTTTTGTTAAGTTTGAGCTCTTAGGGAGTTGATTTATCTACTGGTTGAGTAACCAAGGTTTTCAAATTCAAATGAAACCATTTCTATGAATGCTCTGACTTTCTAGTCAGATTCTTTCTAGTACTAAACACTGCATATTGCTCTTGTTCAGACAACGCCAGTCTCGTTTTTGGTTCAAAGCATGTAGCATCATCCAGCAGTACTGGAGTCATTTGCAAAATTGGAACCCATGGCAAAAAATGGGGTATTTCTTTTTGCTTGTGAAAAAAGTTTGAACTTGCTATATATTCAAACTTATCAGCAGGGCTTCTGACTTGACTAAGCAGCTCCCAATTCAAGATATTTTAAAGTCTCATCCAGCCTCTCATGAATTCTGGAAGAAGTAGCAAATAGTATTTTCTCAATGCTGGCAGAGATATGATGAGAAGTTAGCTCTACAACATCCCAGGATATTTTTAGATAAGGTTTTTCAAGCATTATTGTCTTAGAGAGCACTTAAAATATTCATGTATTTAGGCAACTGATAATTTTGGAGTGCCTCCCAAAATAATATTGGATTTTTCATTTAAGGCTTTTCAAAGCAGCACAGAGTACTTACTCTCTGAATACCCAACATCTGTAAGGCAATTTAGGCTAACAACCCAAAAGTGGAGGCATCACTAGCCAATATTAAAAATGTAGATCTTAGCTACATTATAAGGAATCTGATGAATTGTAGCACAGTGCACACCAAGATGCCAAGCACTGATCTTTTTTTTTTTTTGAACAGATGTAGCCTCATGCTGTTGAATCTTCATATTCAAATAGACACATGAGAAATGCATAGCGCTTAGCACATTCCTTCAGAGCAGCAACTCCAAGGGCGAGTTTAAATAACTAGCATTATTTCTCTGACTGTTAACAGAAATAAATTCATATTGCATATCTTTTTCTATCTCTCAGTGCAGTATAACACACGCCTTCCTACTTGTCCCCTGTGAAGCCTATGCAGTGAAATGCTTTCCTTTGCAGTTTGGGCAATGGCAAGGATTGTCCACCTGCAGTTCAGGGATCCTCTGTGCTGTACAAGCAGCACACAAGGACACACTGTCAAAATACAACGGAGCAGACACAGATAGTGTTTGAACTCTGCAATACTGTTAATTTTAATAAGTATTTAATTTCCTGTACATCACTGGAATCTGCTACTTGACTTTAACAGTTACGCAGAGCTGAAAACATGACAAGGACTTTACAGACATTACCAAGGCACATCCCACATCCCAAAGGGCTTCCAGCTTCACTAGCCGATGTAACAGCTGAGGATAAGCACAGGGAGGAAGGCAGCGAGTTTGCCGTCCAGCCTGCTCACCACTATGTTTTGCTTCACTCTGTATTCTGATTCATTCGTTGTATTTAAAACAGGAAGTTCCACAAAAGAAACATGGCCATATCCTTCACTGATTCTGATGCCTCCTTTCAAAGGCAAGTCATTCGCAAAGGGCCAGCCAGCCAGCTGGTGAACTAGGTGATGATAACTCCTCCAGAAAAAATGATTTCATGACCTGTAAAACAGTGTGAAAGTTCTCTTCAGAAATTTGAAAATGTTAAAAAGGGAGCATCTTACAATTTTTTCCATTAATAAAAAAATTCTCTGGCTTTAGGCAGTAGACTGCCAAACCGTAACTATTAATCTGATAAATTCCAGTCTCTATTTTTTGCAGAGCTAGTACAGACATTGGCCTTGGTAGAATTTATCAGCTATTCACAAGTGTTAATGTTTGCAAAGTTGCTAGGTTGGGCTATGCGTCTGCACAGTAAATTTGCCCTATCACTCTGCCACGATATTATTAGATGCTCAATGGGTGGGTTCTCGTTTGTCTAAGGTTGTTTCATTCCAAAGATCTTGTGTGTTGTCCTCAAGATATTACCGTCCTTGGCATCAGAGAGATGACAACAGCCTGTTGTTTTCCTAAATTAAACATACAGTAATGTTCCTTAGCTGCCTATGCACCTCTTGTTCTTTTCCTCTCCCATTTCTGTGGGTATTTCTTATAACTTCAAGCCTACTTAATAAAGTTGGCCAGGAAACAACAGTTCTATTCTATGATAACTTTAAAGGTCCCAAATTCTTTTTGTTCCACCCTGGAACACAAAATATGGTCTTTGGAAAATATCACAGAACAGAACTGTGGCATTTGTCTATTTTAAATTGGAAAAAAAGTTGCATTTTTTGATTCACTGTTTTTTCCTTTTCTTTTTCTTTGGTTGGAAGTGATCTGCACCACAGGAATATGCACATTTGAAACTCTGTTGAATCTGTACTTCTTCAGAAACTTTTATGCTTTGACAATGCAGACTAAACCCATGGAAATACATTTAGTCAGAAGTTTCTGGCCACCTCTGTTGTTTCAACAGTGGGGCAAGCCTGGTTATGGGGAAGGACTTCTGATATTTGCTGATGCATCTGCCAAGTGTGATCTCTCCCTCTGATTTTATTCATCATGTTTTCCTGCAATGTCACCATGCCATGGGTGATTATATCACCCTGCCACTTAAGGCAGTCCAGGATTCTCCAGGAAGAGTCTTTTCTTACAAGTTTACAACTGTTAGGAAAGCGCTAGCTTATTCACCAGGGTGTCTGCTAGAGCGTGTCACTCCCCACCACATTGGAAATTGCACTCCTCGGGACTTGAGAAATTCTGGGATTTTCTTTCCCAGCTCTGCAGGCCACTCGCTCCATTGTCTCACTCGTGTGCGGTCCCAGCTCTGCACGGGGTCCGCGTGCCCTGGTGGTGGCACGGGCGTGCTTCTGGCTTGACAATGCCACCAGGGCTGTCGGAGCAGCTTTCCTCCTCCAGTCGTCTCCGCACCGGCGTTTTCTGCCTTGATGGCTGAGCACACCTTACTCCTTCCTCTTCTTCAGACCTGCCCTCCCTGAGGCAGAGAAGCAGGCCCTGGTATGCAATTCAGCTTGAAGAAATGAGCTGTGCTGCTGCTGTTTGCAGTGCCTACCCCATGCAGCCGTCCCAAGGCTCAGACTGGCAGGGGAGCCAAAGGTGGCGCATCAGCACAGCGCTACTCTGTGCTCAGATACAGCCCTGGCTTTCCATTTACCAGCATCTTCATTCTGACCTTTCCATTGCTGGCACATCTCACAGGCCCAAAATAGCTCCCCAGGACAGGTAGTGTCAACGCTGCTCACAACTTATTTCTCCAAGGCTGGGAGGCTTTGGTTTGCATGTTTTCTTAGAGCAAACACTAGAAGGGGATTGGAAAAGCAGCTCCTGAAATGAATCTTTTATAATCTATTAATTACACACAGCAGGTTCACATACATCTACATAACAAGGCGTGGGAGCTTTGCAACGCTTCCCTAGGACACACAAGCTCTGTCTTGAAATGATGGCATCAGTAAATGTATACTCATAAAGCTGCACTGACACCCGTTGATCCCTGCTGCACCAGAGATTTACATGGCAGCCTCCTGCGTTTCTGTCCTGGTGGTTGTAATTCTTCTGTATTTTCTCCCAGTCACCCGACTTAGTGTTTTAGTCTTCCCTGAACAAGGGGTGGGAGCGTGGTCTCACTGACGTCAGTGGTAAGACTCCCATTAACGTCACGAAGACAAGCTTTTCCTGGCCTTTTTATGTAGCTCTAAATGGGGGTTTGTGTGTGTGTCTTCAGCAAAACAGACTTTTGCATCCCTAACGAGGGCTGTGTTGCAAAGGCAGCACAATGAGAGGCGCTACCCACTGTAAATTATCTAACGGGACTGAAAGGCAGTGGAATAGGGGCTGCTAAAGGGAGGCAAAGCATGAAGTCTGCAGCACCTATGGGGTTCAGCTCTGGGCCTGGCTGTGTAGCTTCCTCCCTGCCGGTGGGAATGGTGCTTGCCGATGGCAGAAGTGACTCACCAGGTCTCTCTGCTAAGCTCACTGATTTTGGAGAATACCATCAACGCAACTCTTTTGTTGCGTTGCAGTTCTGCTCCTGGCATGGAGGCTTTGCCCAAGTCCTGTCAGTTACCACCCGCTGTTTTCTCCTCTTTCCCTATTTGTCTACATCTCCTGCTATAGTTACTGTTCAGGCTACCCTTGCAAATAAAATAAGCCTCTACTGGGCAATTTCTTCAGCTTGTTGCTGCCTCTCCAGCCATCCTCTCACAAAGATCTCTCTCCAGCACAACGCCAGTAACATGATTTGCCCCAAAATGTGTTCCTTGCACACTAGTAAAGCTCTGAGCTGGTTTTGGCTATGAACGTTGCTCTTCGCGCCAGGCCCTGTTGCTACCTAGAACATACTACCCTGCAAGCAAGATGAGATGAGGCAAATGTATCAGTGGTTATCAGTGTAATTGCAGACCCTACCTTTTGGACTTGAGAAGAAACTAATAAATGAAAGCTGCAGGAAAACTCTCATATGCCTAGTGCATCAGCACACATATCTGAGATTTTTCTTATTTATCACTGGGCTATTCCTACATGGTGTCAGAAGGAAGTTGTTCTAAATTACCTAAAAAGTGCAACAGATGGCGAACGTATTCACCAGGAAGGAAAAAAAAAAAAAAGATAGCACTGAACTATCTGTTGAGAGAGAAAAAAAGACAACATCTGTGGTTCCTCCTTACAAGAAATGGCTCTGTACTGTGGAACATTTCAGGAGTATATTTAGCTTTGTCCTATGTTCCACCCTGCATTACAAAGAGAGAAAAATTAGCAAATGTTTAAGCACAGATGATGTCTGCGCTGTGATGTTTGAGTGGCAGGGGCAGTTCCCAGTGTGACACCATAAGATCTCTCACAGTGGTGTGTCAGTGACCAAGACTCTTGGAAGCACGCCACAGAATAGCCAAACCAGAGTCATTTCTATGGAATAGCAGGGAGACATATCTGACACTGTCAGGCACCAGAGCTCCCATCCTGCACCTATTATTTCTCACCTGCAGAGCTTTATATCCAGAATATGGAAACCTATCTCAGAACAAATTCCTGGAAGCAGAGAAAGTTACAGATAGATATGTCTGAAAGTGCAATGAAAGGTTTTTCTCTTTGTGGCAGAAGCCAGTCTTACAGAAACACTCAGAACATATTCAGTTACATGTGACCAAGTCAAAAATTGTAATTCCCACCCTTCATGTCACTGAAATTTCTCTGGAATAACTAGAAGAATCCAAAAGTAGGTAACACATATGGATTCATAAGTAGAATTTGTTATTGCTGCAGAGGTTTGTTTGGCTTAGATGCAACATGTAACTAAATGAGCAAGCAACTGCATTATGGAAGTACTGAATTGCTGTGGATACTCATTATGTTCACTGCTTCATCTTCAGTTATCTATGTGTAATTTTAACTGCAAGACCTTTCAGGCTTGACAGAGAGACAGCCATTACCGGGAGGAAATGCGAAATGGAACTGTGGAGTCCTAAAATTTTGTAACGATATCTTGAGGTCCCTGAGCTTTAGGTACAGAAAAGGGAATTGAGCTCTGAAGCAGATGCACATGGAAGCACACAGGCTCTGGAGTTTGAACCAAGCCCTATCTGAAGAGGTTTACTGCAAGAGACAACACAACTCATGGCAGCAAGATGTCAAGGTTTTCTCTCACGTATACATGTAACAGGCAAATGAGCATGAATTTTCCTTTTACACCTTTAATATTAGGTAATAAAAAGCAGTAATGAAAAAAAAATCTTAAATCGATCCTACTGAGGGATTTTCCTAACGCGGAGTCCATGCCCATGCGTGTACTTCGTCAGTGTAGCCAATAGCCAATATTTGCAAAAGTCCCGCTCTAACTCCAAAGGAGCAACCACCAAAGCAGAGAGCCGGGGGTCCTCAAGGCCTTTTTCATGGCCACAGTGTGAAAAAGCTCAGGATTCACCATGTGATCTGAGCCTTTGGAGAACATCAGCTCTAAAGGTGTCCTTCAGCTGCTCTTACACTGAGCCAGGTATCTTGCAGCCTCTATAGCAGTTCCCTCAAGGGTTATTGAGCTACCTTGATAGATGAGTAAGGGCTCACAGGTAAGGGCTTACTAGGCCCCCGTTTTAAAAGAGCTTCTTACACTTGCGATAGAGTTCCCCAAAGAATACAATTTGTTCTCCAAAACTGTTAAAAACAGCTGCCGAGACTACAAAATCCAGTTCTGCATTGCAGCCGCCATGGGGACTCCAGCTAGCTGGCAGAGGAGAGGCAGCGCTCACAACAGCAGTCACTGCCACAGACTGCTGCCCCAAACTTAGCTGAATAGAGACTATAAGAGGAATATAAATAGAACTAAAATTTAGCTGCCAGTAGTATGTGAGAATAATTGCTTAACTGATTATGAAATACCGTAACTTCTTAACCTCGTGACTTGCTTCATACAGGCTTAAGGAAGGGTGTCTATTTTCAAAAATTAGTTTTGCTGAATGTTTTTGCGTAATATAGGTAAAAAGCCAAAATCAGTGACAGGAATCGCTGGGGAGAGGTAGAGGACCCCAAAATACTGCAGGAAACAAATGCTTGGAAGATGATAGGAAATATATCTGCACTAATTTGCTTTTTACTTACACCAGAAAATTCAGGGGTTAATTTCACTACAGTCAACACCGGCATTAGAATTATACAGACAGAAAAGTAGCCTGAGAGAGGTGAGTTCACTGACACTTTTATGCCTGCTTTTCCTGACACAGGAAGAAAAAAGGGGAAAAAAAAGCATTCAGAAAATAAAATAGGAGTATGAAATTATTACACAAATTAAAACACAGAGAAGACTGACCATGAAAATACTAGACTTAAATGAGCATTAAAACCACATCAGCTTGTTCCTGTGGATCTCGTGCTATTTATTGCATGGTTTGCTAATGAAAGGTGCCAGACTTGCTCTTCTTACTGTGTAACAACACACCACGGGGCTCTGGAGAGAATACAAGATGATACTGGGGTGTCTCAGAAGCAGAGGCAAAGCCAAATAATGCCATCTGGTAGCCTGGTTTTAGTGAGCAAACGCAAAAGCTAGTGGAAGGTTATGACAAGCGCACCAAAGCTTAATAATGCAGAGACATTAATCCTTTCTCCCCTGCCTGATTACCCCAGCAGAAAGTCTGCACCAGTCTGTTCTCTGTAAATGATTCAATTTATCTTCTTTTTTTCCTGGGTATGTTTGTACAGCACCTAACATGTTTTCAGCATTGCCCAAATAATAAATTAACAACTAAATAGAAAAAAAAGATTGTATTACCTTGAGGTACCCTAGGTATAATTTGAGCCTAGAATTATTTTTATATAGGAAAACCGTACTCTAAAAAAAAGAAAAATAATCTTACCTCTGAGCAGGTAAGAATATGACATAAAAAAGTGTGGGTCCCCTCATGGTGGTTTGGGGGTGCAATTCTCTCCTCACATGTCTACAGGAATACCAAGAAACTTCACTTAAGTAGTCTTTGCCCTCGCGCGTGCCCGACGGCGGGTGAGGAGCGGGACCTGCAGAGCCCCGCTCCCCAGCAGTGCTAGCCACGCGCCTGAGCCAGCAGCCGAGGGCCCGTCACCGGGCGCTGTGCGGGGTCGCTGCCACCGCCAGCCGCTCTTCGCAGCCGCCAGATCGTGGTGAAGGCAGCGCATGCAGATGCTCACCCTCCTTCAGGGGCATCATCTTGTGCCTGGCAGAGGAGGGTCAGGACAGGGTTTCCTTCCAAAGGACCTGTTGGGAAACAAGATCTACTGGAATCTGGTGCGTGTATAACACAGAATATTGTCTGCATAAAGGATCCAAGCCCTTTTCAAGTAACTATCTTGCTCCAAACCATTCATGCCACCAAGGGCTGATCCTAAGCACGTGCGACCTGCGCTGCTGTAAGAGCCTGCACCCGGTCACCTCCCTTCCAGCAATGTTCAGTGCCTTTCTTCTCCCTGGCCAGGGCCATCTACTCCCCCGCGCTCTGGCTGTGGGCCACGTGCCAGGCTGCTCCTCTGCTCTCGGCTGCTGTTTGGCTGCTAAGCGCTCCCTCCAAGCAGCCAGACGCAGGCACTAACGCGAGCTGAAAGGTGGGGACCTCCTGGAGCGCTCGGCGCCCGCACCAGCTACGGCCTCCGGGAAGGGGGCTGAGCCCTCAGGGAACAAATTATGTTCTCAAGATTGGCCCTTCTGAAGCGTGAACCCAGGGCAGGCAAGAAACGCAGACTCCTTAGCAGAGCCATCGTCCAATGCGTTTTTCTGAGGGTAAAACTCTGTGTGTGCCGTAACAAACTCTTTGGCTGGTAGACGTGGAGCCACCTAAGCTGGTGGACAGGCCGTGCGATCCCACAGCGGAGACCGGAAGGCAGCTCGTGAACTGCTCCGCGTGCAGAGGTGGTGCCTGCCTGCGGCAAGCCAGCTCATTCCCGGTGCCTCTGCAGCCAGCCGAGCCTGCGCAAATAAATATAAACTGTCCACAGTATCCACAGAGCAATGAAAATGGGCAATGAAGTAGTGACATACACACTAGGATAGCCATATGTCCTTTACGTGTCCCCTCTGGCTTGCTCGATAACTCTCTTATGAACAGTTGTAATTAGTGATAAGAATAAAGCCAAATACTTCCTAGCCACAGAAGATCGTTTGGAGCCAGGCCTTGGTTTTTAAAAAAGGAAAGGCTGATGCATAGGTCTTTTTCTGCATCAGTCTGGCAAGCCTTGTTGGAAGCAATAGGTACCGCTGCAGCTTGTTGAAGGTCGTGGCTGTTGCTTGAGAGGCACCAGCCTGGGAATGTCCTCAGTGTTTTTTGTTGCAGTTAAAGTTTTACAGAAAAGTGTGCAGCTGAGGCAAGTTTTGGACCTTGCATTCAAGTGTGTTTTGGCATTTATATTAGTAACATGTAAATACAAACAAGCGTGTTTTGAAGTGTCTTCATGTGTTCAGCAGGGGCTGACTCAATTGCATTGCAGAGGAACTTCTCTAAGACACGGGGAATGATGTTGAATTTAACTGTCACTGTCATCATGGAAAAAATATCCTGGTATTTCCAACCAGCCTCCTTAGTTCCGTGACAGGGGAGAGCTGCTGGATGGGCCACGTGAACCTATGGAAAGCCTATAATTTTCTGTTGGCTACTGGAGGAACTCCTGCATAGATAACTTTTAGCATATAGTTTTATCTATCGATCTATGCGTGTGTGTGCGTGTGTATGCATATACACTTTCTAAATCCATCTAGAACAAGATATGCAAATCTGCCCAGCTACGATATTGTTCCTCCCCTGCATACTTAAGTACTCTTCAAGCTAGCTAGCTCACTGCCCGAGCACTCCTGCAATGACCTGTCTGTCTGCAAGCTGAACGCTGCAGCGTAACCCCCATAGACTCATGAAAATAAGCAAGGCCTTCACCCCTCTGTTCCTCCATTAAGTCTGCGTCTCGTTTGCCTTGTCCTTTTGTGCCTCTTTCATCCCATTGCCTTAAACAAGTGTGACAGGGACGCCTGACATCATTGCCCGGTGCCCTGGTCATGAGTCCCTGGAAACACTCAACCAGAAAAGGGATGCAAGAGGCGCCGTCAGCTCAGCAGAAACGCTGCAGCCCTCTAGGAAATATTTCGGTGGAGCAGGGGTGGTGGGACGAAAAAGGCAGCAAAGCTGGGCCAGGCAGAAGGAAACATTTTTGTTATTTTAAACACATGTACTTGTATTGATTCATAATGGGAATTTGGGAGGGAAGTGCAGCTGGGAGACAGAGGGAGAGGCTTATTTTTATTATGAATATATGTATTGATTGTGGCTGAAAGTGGGGAGGGAGGGTAGACTGCATATGATGAAGCCACCTGCAGTGGAGGTGGGGAAGGGAGAGAAAAAGGGCAAAAGGGTACTGTATTTTTCAGATGTGTCAATTGAAAATATACCTATTTCTCCTCTGGTGACTGGACACCAGCTGGCCAAGAAGCCAGAGCACAAGAGAGCACATTGAATATCTGGGATTCAGCTCTGCTTCTCGCAATAGCTTTTAGGGACTGGTTCTAGCACCTTTTATTTAGCCCTGTGTGAACAATTGGTTTTGGGTGGAACAAAATGTTTCAGGTGACCCAAAATGGACGTTTGTTTTCACTCAGTCCTCTAAAAAGCATATTCTTGCCCTTTCAGGCATCAATTCGTATTACGTTTGCCAATTTGTTTGTTCAAAGCAAAGCAGTGGAAACACAGAGAGGTGTGATACACATATGCAAGAAACTGAAGAAGTTCTTCTCTTCTTTCTCAGCAATACAAAAATCCAGCAATGTCCAGATCACTTACCCATGCTGCAAGTGAACTTTGTTTGAGGCTTTTTCCTTCTGAGAAACTTTTAACCCCAAAGGTTTGGCTAACTCTGAACTATAGGGTAGCTGGTCAGGACCCTGTATCAAATGCCTGACTATTTCTTGGTATTCATGCTGATATGAAGGTTTGTACTCAGTTGTTGCACACCCCAGGTAAATGTTCAAATATCTTTCTCTCAATGACTACTGCAGAGCTCAATCCAAAACAGAATGGATTTATCAGGAAAGACCCATGTCATAGCGTTAATTAATCTCAAACTATTTGGCAGAGGTAGTTCAGGCAGCAACTCCAAGAGCATTATTTGAATTAATAGGCTAATTGCTGCTGCACTGTGCTTTCTTTTTTTTCTTTTTCTTTTTCTCTCTTTTTCCTTTTCTTTTTTCCTTTTCCTTTTCTTTTTCTTTTTCTTTTTCTTTTTCTTTTTCTTTTTCTTTTTCTTTTTCTTTTTCTTTTTCTTTTTCTTGGCTTACTTCATTTTTGTTATTATTGAGAATTTGAATGTATGTCACTAGCACAATGTTATCTGGGGGGCTCAGACGCAACCTTGTCTAGCCATGCCGGACGGCTTCTTCCATGAATACCAGGAGATACTTCTTGTGCTGCAGTACAATCTAGGGGCTTGGTACCTCTTCTTAAATAGTAGAAGCTCCATTGCTTCCAATTACTCTGTCCTGTCATTTTCTTCATTTCTAGAAGGTAGGTCAGTGGCACTATTAGTCTCAGAAGGCCCTTTGGCCCAGCTCTTGATTTTCTCTTGGGCCAGTGAGAGTCTGGTCTCCCCAGACCAGCAATAAGTGCAGGTGCAGCAGTGAGAGGCCTTGGGGCCATTCATTTCTGTTAGGAAGGCACTATTTTACATCAAGTGAGCAAAATTTTGCTATCTGTCACCAGCATCCTGTCACCTGCTATTGCAGTGAGAGCTAGACCGAAGAATGACTCTACAAACATCCTCATTCTGGCTTTAAGAATATTTAAGAAATCTCTTGCAAAGTTTTTAGGGTTGCAGAGACTAAATATCCTGAAAACACACAACAAAATATCTAGAGGGACTAAGGGGCTATCCGGATCGTTACATGTATGATACCCTCATGGTCTGCAGTGAAATTAACAGCATGGTTTTTTAAGTCCTTTTTTTTTGGTTAAGAAAGTGGGGTTTTTTTTCCTTCCCATACCACTGAATCTTGCAACACAAAATGTTTGGCCTCACCATCTGAATCCAGGTCCCTGCCCCCACAGCAATATGGAGGGCTCTTTCCAATGCCATGTCCTGAGCATGGTGCTTTCCCTGCTCAGGAAATGTGCCTGCTTAGCCAAAGGGTTGCCTGAGCCTTTGTGCCTGTTAGCGTAGCATGGCAAAGCTCTCCTGTGTGGTAGCAGCACTTAGCAAAGATTGAAAATCCTGCAAGATTAGTAGATTGCAGCTGTTTCAATTGCAGATGTTGCGAACCTGTGCATTTGTGGTCCATGGAGAATTCTGTTTTCCTCTTAATGTAGCCTAAATGATTCAGGCCTGCTCCTGTAGGAATAAAAGATAAGCCGTTGGGCCAGTGATCTTCCACAAGAAAAATAGCATTTTGTTTTGTTTTGTTTTTTTCATTTGTTTTTTTGATGTGTGGGCACCTAAAAAGTAGAAGGGCTCATACTTCCCATTGAGCACTTTGTGCTTTCACCTTTGAAATCTTTTCCTAACACATTTCCTCCTCTACGCAGTGAGGTGCAATATTGTGCGCATGGCTGAATGAGGAAAAAGGCCCATTAAAGAGCAGATGAAAAGCAAAACGCAGGTTACTATTCCCTTAGTTCCAAGAACTAAGGATTTCAGGGAAGGAAACAAAATGGGGACAAGATGATACACTCTGATTCTCTGGCCAAGTTTTTCCTGCTCTCCCATTCAAACAGGTTCTTCTTGTCCAGTGTTTTATGTGAATTATCATTAACCACAACTTCACTACTCTGTTCTGCTTATACGGTAAGCACATTCGACAGCCTCTGACAACGCTCATTACTCGCCTATGGCTACTGGGATAATTTCAGTATGAAAAACTGCATAAAAATCAAACCCTTGTCCAGCTATTCTGCCACTGTTTGCTGTGAAAACACAGTAAGCAGTTGGATACAGCTCGGATTAATACATGAAGTCTCTCTCAGGCTAAATAGTTTTCTTAGGCATCAAGAAACATTCAGCTAGTTTCTTTTTTTCTTTACACCCAGAAGTTGGCCAGGAGGTGTTCTTAAGAGGAGCTTTACATTCACTTCATTGAGCTCCACACTGAAAAAAAGCTCCAAAGGGACCATGCACAAAGCAATATTGAGGGTGAGTCAATTGGAAAATCATCTGTGTCAAGGGAGGCAGGAAGTTCTGTGGCTGGTAGATATATACTACGGTTTTCCCATAAATAGAAGTGAGGAAGTTGTTGCTTTACAACTTGAATGTGTAGCTGATTTGAGCATGCTCTCACAGAGGGTTGTTGAGGAGTTCCTAATTGTTATTATTTGGTGATGAAGCTTGTGCATCTGAACCTCTTTGTCTATTCACTCCACTTTTAGGCTCGGAAGA